TTCACAAAAAATAATTGAATATCAATTCAATAAAAATTTAATTAATAAAACAATAAAGTTTCCTCGATAGATAAAAATCACGAAATGACCTCTAATTTTCACATTTTTTCGATTTATCCTCGAAATGCTACAGGTTATTAGGACAAAAATTAGATAATTATATTTATGCATGATCGACAATATTGTCACTACGGATTTTTTTTAAATCCCTTTAGTTTAAGAGTTATTCCACTAAAACGAATATGGTACTTTTAACACGCAAAATTCAACATCTCTTGTCGCATGTCACGCGAACTTCAGGCATATATTTGTTTCACAAATTTGGGCGGAGCCAACGTCAAAACTTTTTTGGCATGAGAACTCTTAAAACATCCATGGCGGTCAAAGGGTTAAAGCTCTGAGCGGCACTACAACCGTTATGAACAGTCGTGTCGCTTGCCACCAGGCGCCAGACTTGTACGTCCTGTCACTTGGTATCTATCATAAAAAATAAGAACTGATATGTGACAAAATTAAAATTGCCTTCATTAAGATTGTTTTCTTGAGAAAAATCGTTCACAAGGTTGAACCTGAAACGGCACAAGCTCTTGGGACCTAGTGTCGGCCAAACTTTAAAACTTTTACTTTAAAGCATTTTTGTTAGGTAAATGAATCTCGTCAACTTTTGTATCAAAGTGGCAGTGGCAGTGCCCCACAACTGAGTGGCACTGCCACTGTCATGGACAGGCGTATCCCTTACCACCAGGCGCACGACTTGTTCCGTCCCATAACTTGGTATCATAAAAATGTCAGTGTCTTCATTAACCAATGTTTGTTATTTAAAAATAACAAAGTCATATTATTTACTTAGTTTATACGTCTTTATTTATCACAAACAGGAGATACATACATACAAGTTTGTATAGTACTCAAGTTTCTATAGGTCTATAGTTTTCTATAGTACAGCAGACAAGTTTCTTAATACTTGTTTATATAACAATTAAAAGAAGTACAGTAGGTGAAAAGGCCAAAAGTTTGTCGATGCATACAAACTTTAAGGCTCAATATACCTGAATATTGGGACGGAATCGTATTTTTGTAATGTAATTATACATAGCATAATGAACTTTATGACAACTGTGTAACATACAAAATATATACGATATGATAGCTGTGAGTAACTCCGAGATTACGCGAGAATCTTCCGGAAGAGGTGCGATCCGGTTATTTGGCTCGTATTTAGTTTGTACATTACACAAATTGACTCACTATGTTAATGTGTCATGTTTACAAAAATTAGCTTCCATTACGTACCGCGACTTCCATTCCGTTCCGCGGCTTCCATTCCTTTCTGCGGCATTGTAAATAAAGCCTTAACTTCCTTACTCTGTTCTACTATGTAAAGATTGTAATATGTATGTATAAATGAATACTACAACAAGGTGCATTACACATAAAGTCAATAGATATTACTGAAAGTATGTTACTTTCACATATTGTAAATACATTCTTGTAAATATGCAAGGAATAGAAATACAGCTACAGTTTGTAATTTGGAGCAACTTTATAATAAATAGTATAATACTAAACCAATCTCAGTCCACCCATTCCGAACATCATTTGACGTTGCAATTCTTCAGCATTCAATGTCCCGTCTATACTTTTACAATCTTCATTGAATACACTATATGCAGAAATTTCTCCAGGTTTCTTTCTCTTTGTTCGTGTATTTATACAGATGAAAACTAAAGCTGATATTACAAAAAACACAGCTCCGAAGCCAACGTTTAAGAAGAATGCAAACAAGGTTATCCAGATGATAGTATATAGAGACCATTTTACAATAAAATAACGCCATGACTCCTGTGTCTCTTCAGCTACAGATTCTAATTCGCTAGCATCAGAGGCTACTTCAGCAGGATCTTCTGTTTGTAGCGGAATGAATTTTGGTGGTGGTTTTTCTTCTTCATCTAGCTGAAATGATGTAAATATACATTAATTACATATAAAGGTACCTGTTACTATGCCTATACTATGCTCAGTATAGGAAGATTGTGAAAAACATCTCTAGTTCTGTAGAGCTCTAAATTACTACCAAAATTGTTTTAATATGCTTAAGTGTGCCATAAAAAACTTTTATTGTGTTTTAGTGGCAGTAGAGCTTCTTGAGAAAGAGTTAGTCCAGAGAAGTACTGCCGCCTTATCTATTTCTGCCGCCAAGCAGTAGTGTCAGAATTACTGTGTTCCGGTTTTGAAGGGTAAGGGTGCTGGTGAAATTACAGGCACAAGGGACTTGTCAACTTATGTCTCAGGGTGATGGGCGCAGTGGCAGTCTATGCCTACAGTCTCCTTCAAAATTAAGTAATTTCTTTTTCTCTAGTTTACAAGCAGCCTGACACTTGTTTGCAAGATGCCTTTTTTTTTTGCAAAGGCACTATTAAGAAGTATTTAATTTTCCACTATTCTCCGTATTGTTGGAGTACAACATGGAAAAGTAAAAGCTTTCATACATGATACATGTCATCTTCATTTACTTAATTACAAGTTTACAATCTTAGGGTCGTATTCTAGAACTCTATTCAATGCTCAAGTCAGGATTGCCCTGGCAACACAAGCACTGGAAATACGACCCTAATGGCAGGGACTTGAGTATGATTTTGAGTGCTTTAAACCATACTCAAATCCTGACTTGAGCATTGAGTAGAGTTCTAGAATACGACCCATAGTAAGCGATGTAGTAAGCGATGTTTGCCTGTAATTAACTGTTGCACTAAGCAATGATATGTACTTCTACAGTTGTAGTTTTAGTGGAAGCAGTTGGTGAACTACTAAAAACATTTTTTGTTTGGTGATGCAGAAGTGCCATCTTGAAAGGGACATACAAAATATATAAGTGTTAATATGTAGTAAAATCAACGTAATTTCAGAGCTCACCAAATACACCTCTTCGTCTTTCTTTTCTTTGTTCATTTTGTTAAATAATTTTGGCAACAATATGTCTGCTAATGTCTTTTTGGTAGTTTCAAGTTTTTCTTTAGTGTTTTCAACTAATTCTTGGCGTCGGCGTCGAGCGCGGTACTCCCGCAGCTTAGCCTCCATCCGTTATTAAAACACAAAACTGCTGTTATTAATGGTATTGTTATCGCAAATTTGAGTACAAATTAAATACCGCGACAGCGATTTACCAGATAGATATTTGATAAAAAAAACCAAGTTCATACGTGACCGTGAAAGATATACCTAGTATACTATTGACATAAAGAATTTGTCTGCTAAAGGATTTCTAGCCTCAATATGTAGCACTCTTGCTACGTAATGCCTAAATTTATTTGTTACACTTTGTTGACACGCTTTCACTTAGCAAAATTTTGAAAATTTGCTGAATATTATTGAAATCCTTATTTTTGTATTGACGGTGCCACACTACAAGTTAACAAAATAAAAGTCAGCTCTCAGCTGATGTCAATGTCATTTTGATTTTTTTTTTTTTAATTTATTAAGGCTTTGGCAAAGCCATTTTCCTAAACATGAAGTTTAATTATGTTTCTGTAAATATGGCCGCCACAAAGAGGATAGGCAATTTGAAGCGGCGTGCTTGGATTGACTCGGGATTCCTTAAAACGGGCAAAAGTTCCAGAGCGAATCCTCATGTCATTTTGACATTGGCGTTTTAACATGCCTTTTTTTTGGTATTAATGGCTTTGCCTTCGCATAAATGCCTAAATTTATCCAATGAAAGGGTTTATGGAAGAGCATTGGAAGAGGTACGGAATTTGAATGAAAAAGAATATGGTAGGTGGGTAGCTATTATTATATCGGCATACATATTAAAACTTGATATTATTATTTTCGATACATAAGGCCAGTACATTATAAATATCTTTGTTGCATAATGCGCTGATTTATTTATTTATTACATAGCTTTATGCACTTACAGTTTCCCAAAACGTACAAACATAGATTAGAACTACTGAAAAGACAAAATTAAAAATATAGAATAAAATTACAAAAACACATCACTCCTATACAAATAATTTTAGATTCTTATTCGTTTAATACGAACATAAACTTCCTTATAAAACTTCATTTTGTTTCCACTATTATCAAATATATTATGGGCCTATGTATTTTATACACGCAAAGGACCCGCGGTTCACGAATGCGCTTTGAATGCGCATTTACAGCGCCGAAGATGTTCGAAAAGCAAATTATTGCGTTTGTATCGATTGAAATGCGCGTAAAACGCGATACAAATGCGAATCAAACATCGCGTTGCAAAACTGAGGAATGGGGCAATGGAGGGGCGCGCGCTGCGTCATATTATTGCGGCACCGTAAACGCGCGTCATCTGCGCGTATACGTGCGTCTTCTGTGCGTATACGCACCGCAGAAGCGCTGTAGTGAATCGATTCAAACGCACGCAAATGTCGCGTTGCAAGCAAGAAGCTTATATTTTTCCCCCAAGATTTTACACTTAGAATTTCATGTAGTTGCTTCATTTAAAAAAATTAGTGAAATTAACAAACAAAACTAAAATTAAATCTATCTTTTATCAAAATGCGTAATACACACGCGCGTTTACGGCGCGTATACGCGCGTTAATGGCGAGTACGAATTTGTGAACGGGTGCAAAAGTTTACTGGCTACGACTGAATCTCGTTTGAATCGCGTTAACGCACGTCATCAACGCGTAGTCGGCGCATCCTCTACGCGTCGTCTGCGCGTTTAAAATACACCGTTACTATACTAACGCCCTATGTATTTCATTCAAAATTGGTGTTGAAACATGGAAAAATGTTCATTTTGAAAAATAATTTTTCCCGATATTGTTGCTTCAATTTTCCACATTGACGTTGAGATCTATCAAAATATTGAAAGAACGAAAACGATGGAGCATTAAAAGGGGGCATGTCCTGCAGTGCAGTCCGCCTTGCCATCTGCCGAGTAATGCAGGATTATGAATGTAGTCGTAGCGTGCAAGCCATCCTGCAAGCCTGTAATGCGTTCTGCGAGACTCCGTACGTGGGCCATACGCAGGATAGTGTGTGAGTAGTTTCCTGCCTGCGCAGCGGACTGCCCTGTGGGCCGTTTTGTTAGGTTTTTTCGCTATTTTGAAATCATTTTAATGTCGTGTATTTTTTTGTGATTTTTAGTTAGATACAAGTAATTCACGCTTAATAAAACTTCAAAATATATTTATAAACGTAGACCATAATATAAATGAGCCTTCGATATTATATTGATACAATTTTTCAAATATTTTAAAGGTTTCGGGATTTTTTCCGGAAAAAATTCTACTATTTCAAGTTTTGCGGAAAATTACCCAACAGTATTAAAAGTGCTACAAATTTTCTTCTACAAAATTTTATACAATGGTAACACTGAGGATGGCGCCAACTCCGATCGATAGTGTTTCCTTCCGGAAAAGCTTCACTGGAAAATGGTCTGTCAAAGAAATCTAAAATAAATAATACTCAATGGAACATCAGGCAGATATGGGGGCTTACGGTGAAAATTCTAACGTACAGAATAATAGTAATTACATTACCATAATTCCAGTGGATTATTCAAGGCGTGGTTACCCAATGCAGGCGGAATATCAATACAAGTAATAGTTTAAAAATGGAATGAATTTTTCTTTTTCTTTTAAGCTATAGTTCATTCATCACAATTATAGTGAATTCTAATTCGGCCTGTGATTTTATTAAAACTTGTTTTAATTTTCAGCGAATTTAGATCGCGTGAAGAATACTATAGTGTCCAAAGTCAAAAGCTACAGGCTGAAGTTAACGCTCATTTATACTCCGTATCTCAACGACTTCCTCACTTGTCGTACAGTCCCATTGGTCGTCACAATGATTGGGAGAAACATGATCCTCACAAACCACTGCAGCCCGATTCTAAAGAAAGCAACAGTTCTGATTCTTTGGAAAAAAGTGTTATGGGTATATTATTATGCTTTTCATTCCTGTGCAAGCGTATTTCCACATTAACATACTATTTCACGTTACAGTTAGTTACAATTTATTCCATTGAACGGGTTTTAAATCGGAAATTGCTTGTCTGTAGTTTGTCCTGTCTCACACTTTTCAGGCTCAAACCTCAGCAGTTGTTCGAATCAAACCGGATCTAGTAGCATAGCGGCTGGCTCCTTCAGCACTACTGAACCTATCACCAGCGGAGGCAGCTCTTCGAGTGCTATATCACCACCACTACCAGGTAACATGAGGGCGAAATTATATTCAACTATTATAGGCCTACCACACTCCATGTTACTCAAAAACAGTTACTGTGAACTTAGTAAAGTGTGAACATAAATTTGTTATTCAGTTTTGTAATTAACTTTTTCCTTCATACTTTTAAAATGAGAGAAAATAAATCCAAGGACACAACAGGTCATATTTTCGGCGTCCATATGATTTATAAAGGCGAGTCATCCGAGGAGCAGCTAAGAAAACTGTTTTGCTGTCCAAAGTTTTTGGTATTTACTATTAAATACGATATAACTAAGCATATTGCCTAAAGAATGTGTTAATTTGTTACACAACAGGATATATTTTACTCGATCATATAAAATCTCGAAAACAGGCTAAAATAAATATCTAAAACGAATTACTTAAGAATAAAATATTTAACTGTGCACATAATTTTTACATCGTCGCCTTGAAAACCTCGCATACGCGTTTAGACATAGTTAGTTTTTACTTATTTTTGTTGAAGGAAAACTTATAAAACTTCTTGCTCAAATATTTATTAAAGTAATATCCCTTTCGTACCTCGATTGATAAGTTTATAAGAATAATTTTCCAAACGAAACTCTTCTATCTATCTGAACGAGGCCTTCGTCACACGATTGCGTGTTAGACGAACTTTTACCTTGCATTTAAAATTAGTGCATCGACTAGACGCCTTGCGGAGCATCAATACATCAATTCGGACGGATTTTAGGGGACCTACCTTTTTGGATCGTGAGTATCGTATTTACGCTTTTTCGTTTGGAATTTGGAATTTTTAATACCTAAACGCAATCATACATTAAATATTTAATGTGATTGTGACTAATAAATACATCATAATAACTATCTAGTTTGCAAAAAAATTTGATAATTTTTTGCAACTGACCGGCGCCCAAGTACAACTTTTGTGCTTACTTTTTTCATGCTATTATGGTTTTTTCAGCATGACACGTAAATTATTAGATTAAGAAATTGAAGTCTGTTGTGGGAATCCAATAATGAGGGCAGATATGAAGATGATTTCGACACCTGAAACAAAAACTTCCAGGAACGTCGTGATGCTGAGGGCTCATCCATCCAAAATCTGTTGATGACGTATATCTAATTATGCACCGATGGAAGAAGAAGAAGCGTCGATGCCAGAGGATTCTTTCCCTAATATAAATTCGGTAGGAACACCCGATCAATATTTTGAGAAATATTTTACACTAGGCGACACGGTAAGACTTATTAAAATTAAAATGATTAAAAGTACTATTACAATAGGTACATTTTAAGACATTTTGTTGATTTTGCATCTAAGAAATGATCATAAGATTTTATTCACCAAATAAATAAATTAAATTAAATTATAACAAAATCATTACTATTGTATTTTACTCAAACACTATATTAAAGTCCCATTTAAATACAATCGTGTTTCCACACAATTGTGCGCCTCTTATAAAGGGTCGAAGTTAATACAATTGTGTGGGTCAACATTTTCCAAGATGGCGGCCGGAAAATGGAAAATTGACCTCAGATTCGTCATCTACCGGTCAAGGTCAGGTAGATACAAGTTTTTTGTCGGAGAACTTCCAAGTAGTTTCGGAGCCGGTCCGAAAGGGATATACTCGTAGTATCTGCTCCCGTAGCATGGCAACGCATGACAGTCGCGACGCGCGCGATAAAATTGAAATAAGTGCGCGCCATTGGCTATCTAAATTAGAGCTGGTTGAGACACACACGGTTCTTGTTAACGAAATAAAAAGATGCATAATGTTTTCTTTTTGTTGCTAAAAGGAACCAAGATGCATTTGGTTCTATTTTGAAAATCAAATATAGTCGCTTATGAGATAGATGTTTAGTACTTTACAGGTAATTATAGTTTTTGGAAACAGTGGGAGATAAATTAATTACGTATAAATATATAATAATTATTATAATGATAATTTACTGGCAATCGTGATTCGTCCTAATCATTGTGATTATTAAGAGTGTTATCATATTCAACACTTAACTAGTCAAAACTGCTACGATTATGAATTTTCAAAAATAGCAACACGAAAAGTAAGCTGGTAAAGTGGTAACTCTAAGGGCGCGTACAGATCTGGCGAATAAGAAGCGAACGTTGCACGCGTGCTTGATGCGCGCAGTTAAATACATGTTAGTATCGATCGCACTACATAATGCACGTGCGCAGCTCGCGAGTCTTGCGTGACGGGACGAACAAGTCGTGCGCCTGATGGTAAGCTACACGCCTGTCCATAACAGTTGCAGTGCCACTGAGAGCTTTAAATCGCAAAGATTTGAGGGGAATTGCCACTGCACCCGTCGCCCTGAGACATAGTTGACAAGTCCCACGTGGCTGTAATTTCACCAGCACCCTTACCTTTCAAAACCGGAACGCAGTAATGCTAATATTACTGCTAGGCGACAGAAATAGGTAAGGTACGAACTCTTCCACAAGGAGCTCCACTGTTACTAAATTAATATAAAGAGATTATGCATATGATGTGTTTTTATTTTATGAGATGTAACCTGGATGATGACTAAATGTAAAGAAAAACTTACTAGAAAATACTGCCTGAATAACCTTGACAGCTAATGGATTTGCTCTGGTCTAAAGGAAAACCCATCCCTGAAGCAAAATTGAACGGTATGAAAAGTTTGTTGCATCTTGTACCAGAAGATGCACAAGACTTTACAAAAACTTAACAGGGCGTGATACAGTTAAAGATAATACCTATAGACGAGTTTTCTAGTGAAGTTGATTTTGAGGTAGAAGTGGATGAAGGTGATTAGGTAATGTGGGGTGATAAACAACAGTACTTAAGTATGTATGTTCTCGTTATAACAAAACAGTCACAGAAATCAATGGGATTTAAAGTCATCAACTTTAATTTGTCTTCTTGTAAAACCTAAATATTTTTGCAATAAAGAACCAACCTACAAAACAGTTTTTTTTGCAACAAAGAAACAGCAGGTTTTTGCTCTAAAATATAACTAAATCAAAGAAAAATCATACAGATCCGTTTCCCTATGTCATTCTCAATGCTACACATAACTCCGTTAAATTGTTTGTCTCAAATAACTTACCTATTTATTTCTTCACACTGTTTTTACATAAATGTAATTAACATCAAATTAATAACAACGAATTATTTAATTATCTCGAAAGTGACATTTTGTGGATTGGTTCTAGTTTGCATAACGATGTACATTTAATACTACTAAATTTCAGGATCATCAGGAAGCACGACGTCCTCATCAACTGTGTCTTCAAATCCAGTCACCTGCATTTACCTCATGTCACGAACAGCTATCATGGTTGAGATGAGTTCAGAAGAAGTTCCTGCGTGCGTCACAGCAGCGAGATTCTTAAACGCCGTGTTGGCCACTGAGGAGCTGGGTTTAACTCAGCCTAGCACGAGAAGTCTGGCTGCTAGTGTATTTGCGCTTTGGATGTGTAGCCCGTTATTAGGTAAATGCTCTACTTATTCTTAAGTTTTACAGATTAATTTATAAAAGCCGTAATGGTTTGACCTACTGCCTGTCAAGCAGAAGGTCGCAGGTTCGAATCCGGGCTCGCACCTCTGAGTTTCTCGGAATTTATGTGCGAAATTTAATTTAAAATTTGCCATGAGCTTTTCGACGAAGAAAAACATCGTGTTAAAACCTGCATGTCGAAGAAGGTTCACAATCCTCGGAAAACGTGTGAAGTCCCTAACCCGCATTGGGCTAAACCCTCGCCTGAAGAGACCCGTGACCAGCAGAGAGACGTGTAAATGTGTTGATGTTGATTAATTTGTAGATTCGGGCAATACTTTGCGGAAGTCCATTACACGCGAAAAGGTTAAATCGTGCAAAATGAGGTATTATAGAACAGGTCTGCTTTTGAATTGTTAGATGACATGTCAGCTATGCTTCGTTAGGTAAGTTCCGATAAGTCAAACAAAATTAATTTTAACTGAGAGACTTAAAAGAGATTTTTGTAATCTATTTTTTTAACCGCGTTTTAGTTAGTGGACGGCAGAGATGGAAATAATTAGCTATATGTTTAACAACAAGAATTAATTAATGAGTGAGTGCTTTGAAGAACTGTTTAACCTTATCCCGCCCTCCCATTTTCTGCTCCGAAGCACGCGTGCTGGCTTCCGTAGTCAGCGTCTTACAATTAACCGTATTCCATCGCGGACTAAAAGGTCTGGTGGGACCTTCCTCTGTCGCACAGTTGCGAAATGGAACTCCCTTCCAGGTCGAATTCAAATTCGCTCCGTTTTACGACATGGGGCCCTTCAAACGAGGCGTAAAGAGGCATCTTGTCGGCATGCGGGGTGGCTAGGGCAGTGATTGTATCAACACTACCTACACTACCTTCCTTCACGCATGAAACATCATCATACATCCGATCATTCACTGACTAATGCTGCAATATCAAACCATTCACACTCACACAAACACAATTTTTTCTTTATTTCAATAATCTCTTCACAGCGCTAAGTGATGAATTAGTGGTATTTGGAAAAACTTCTTTTAAGTTTATATAAAATACTGTTTGATGTATATGTAATGGTATTTGTATTATATAAAAATAAATAAAAAAAAGAGCTCAATATTTTAATAAGACATTCCCTATTACAGAAATTCAATTGAAACCACATCACTGCCCATGGCGAATTTGGTCAGGCTGGCAAAAGCTCCTTCATCGTTATGGGCACGGATCGGAGTCCAAGACTGCAAAAGATCAACCAGTTCTTAGATTGCAGAGAAATATCTTCTTTCCAAAGCATTTGGAGGAAGGGATAAAGTAGGGGTTCATGTTGCAAAAGTACCATTTATTGTTTTAGGAGACACAAGTACAGTCGAATTTTCAGCTGTAAAAAATTTGTTTCAGAGATTCTCGCATACAAGAACTGTTATACGAAGAAGCAAGACACAACGTAGTCACAGGACGTTACCCTCTCGAAAGTGCACAAGCTGTGATGCTCGGAGGTTTACAAGCTAGAATACAATTAGGCCCTTATGATCCTCATCGTCATACTGCGAAATTTTTCAGGTAATTTCAACATTTTAAATAGAAAACCACTGTGAGTCTCAGACATATGACGGCCCCCGTGGTCGAGTGGCTTGCACACCGGTTTTCATGGTGTCGCCATCTCTGTGGTCCCGGGTTCGATCCCCGGCCGGGCCAGTGTAGAAACTAACTAGTAGCAGTAGAGATCCTTGTGATGGAGTTCGTCCAGTATAGTACTGCCACCTTGCCTATTTCTGCCGCCAAGCAGTTATGATAGTATTACTGTGTTCCGATTTTGAAGGGTAAGTGCTGGTGAAATTACATGGGACTTGTCAACTTATGTCTCAGGGTGACGGGCGCGGTGATAGTGCCCCTCAGATCTTTGCGATTTAAAGCTCTGAGTGGCACTGTAACTGTTATGGACAGGCGTCTAGCTTACCATAAGGCGCACGACTGTCACTTAATGTTATTTAAAAAAAACTTTCCTATATTGTCTCGGGTCTGGGTGTTTTTGGTACCATCGTTGTTTCCGATTTCCATAACACAAGTGCTTTAGCTACTTATTTTGGCATCAGAGCAACGTATGTGTGTTGGCGAATATTTATTTATATTAACCAAAATAACGGATAACTCACGCATTTATGTCGAATTTTTGCTCAAAATATTTCATCCTGCGTATGACTTTAATAAAAACGAAGCAAACGAGGGTAGTGTTTTCGCTGACGCCGCCTGCGTCCGCAGACGTACTGAGTGATCGGGCTGCCAGGGCTTTGGCGCGCAGTTTCCGCCGAGTCACCGCCGCGGAATCTCGTGATTAAGGACCACGGATTAGTTCGAAACATGTCGAGAAAAAATTCGACTAAGGCGATTAACACACTGCACCGCGCCCTGCGACGGAACGCGGGACGCGGTTTCACGCGCGCGGTGGCGGTGTCGCAGATCTGCGTCAACGCGTGGTTTAATCTGCGTGTAGGCAGCGGTACTCGCTTCGCAGTTCACCATAGTGATTGTATATATAGCCGAGATCCTTCTTTGACAAGAATGGTTAATACTACAGAACTCATTCAGGACGCTGCAGTTATACTGTCTATTTGGTTTTTGTTTACTCAAACAAAAAGACACCGAAGATATTGGATACATCCTTTTTTACGAACCAGATCGATAACTGGATAGTTTCAAGTCCATTACAAAGATTTAAGAAAATATGAAGATAAATTTGGTCGATTTTCAGTAGCAAATATAAATTCATCGACGTCGAGACCTATTGTAGAAAACTGAACATGTCCTTAAGCTTAAAAATCTGCGCGGTAGTGCGGAGCGCTGTGTGCCATACCCTGCGGTGCGTCGCGCTCCCGCGGAGAAGCGTTGTCTGTGTGTTCGACGGCGCGTGTATTCCATACATACTGAGGTACGTACTTCAGTACAACGTTAAAAAACACAGCTCCGCGCTCCGTCGCGGGGCGCGGTGCAATGTGATAATCGCCTTAAATACGTAAGTTATCCGTTATTTTATTTTATTTGTAGGTCAATCGTTATTTTATTTAATTTCAACATTTTGATAAAAGTGCTCAAACACTGAACCCTAATAGGTTTCAATGTTGGTTCAACATTTGGTTCCATAGAGTATAAGTACCTTTATTTCGATAAAAGTACTTGGACTATTTATCAAAAACAAGTTTCAGCACTTACATGGCTTACAAAAGCAAAAGCTTTAGAAAAGTTAAAAATTTTCAGAGAAAACCAAGATAAATATTTACCTCGACATGCACGGTCAGGTAGATGGGCGCAACTCTTACCTGCTGGACGTAAAGGAAGTCCTGAAGCGAAACTGTTGGAGCAAACCCAAAGACCACCAGCTGCTCCTCCGAGGAAATTGCGACATAAATATTTATCTCATTGTCGGACCTTGCCTACTTATGGGTGAATAATTTATTTATCATTGTGTACTTTTAGATTATAATTTTCGTACGTGACGTAGACATGACATACACACATCAAAAAAAGTTTGCGATCAATAGCATAATCTCCTATAATTCTTTAAATTTAACTTTATCAAGAAAAAATCTATGTTGTATGCTTTCTTTAAATAGGAATACCCTGTTTGAAATTAAAATATAAAACTATTTTTTATTATTTATTTAAAAAAATTGAGCCATTAATCATAATGTAATAGTGATAGAAATTTCATAGAAAGAAAAAGACTGTTAAATTAAACTTAAACAACAATTTATTATTAAAAGGTGTGAATTCAATATAAAATAACTCCTCCCCTGGCTCGAATACATGCGAAGATCCTCCTGGGCATGCTGAGGATCAAGTTATCCAGCATTTCCTGGGGTAACCTATCCCATTCTTCAATAGCGGCTTCCCTGAGCTCTGGAACTGTCTGGGGATGTGGCTCACGGTTCCATACTGCTCGTTTAAGAGCATCCCACGCGTGCTCTATTGGGTTTAAGTCGGGCGAGCCGGCAGGCCAGTCTAATCGTGTGATATCGTATTCTTGAAGAGCTGCATTGACTCGTTGAGCTCGATGTGCGGGCGCATTATCATCGACCAGTACAAATTGGTGCCCATGGTTTACTCGGAATGGTCTGACGATATCATCAATAGCAACTGCTTTGTACATGTCTGCTGTCATGAAGCCCCGATACCGGATCAAAGGCGTTCTAGCTCCAATCATAATGCCACCCCAAAAGGACACCGATTTTCCGCCTTGCTGAACTGTTCCAGTGGCAGTTCTTTGTCTTTCATGGTCGCCTGGTCTTCTCCAGACACGGACACGTCGGTTATCTGGATGAGTGCTGATTCGAGATTCGTCAACGAAGAGACAGTTTTGCCAAATGTTTTCGTCCTCACCTTCTTCATTTTGCCGAAGTCTAGCCCACTGCAATCTTCGTTGTTGACGTTGCCGGGAATTGAGCGGAGCTCGCCAAGACCTCCGTGCTCGTAATCCAGCCTGGTGCAAGCTATTACAAACGGTCTGCGTGCTAACTTCAAGCCCAGAGGCTGCCCTGACTTCTGCTTTTATTTTAGTGGCGTTGATTGTTGGATCACGGGCTGCCAGCAATCTAATATAGCGCTTTTGGGCAGCTGTCAAAACAGTTAAGCGACCGCTGCGGGGTCGGTCAGCTAAATTCCCCATTCCGTGATACCTCTGCAACGTAGCCATGACACAGGATTGGGATATAGCAAGTCTGTGTGCTATTACTCTCGTGGTGTATCCTTCTTCCCTCAAAGTTACTATTCTAGCTCGTAAAACCTCTGATAATCCTCTTGGCATTTTTTCAATCACAACTTTCCGCGAAAAATATCTTGAATCGTTTATAATTGACTAAATCAGATTTCTGAATGAGCGTAAGCTAGGACTGAAAGCCTTTTTATATGAAAAAACAATTGAACGGGGTCATTGTTTTATGTTCTAATTTATTTTTAAATAAAGAATCTAAAAAGAAGAAAAAATCATAACATAATCTACAGTAACAAAAAACATTTCAGTTTTTCGAAGTGATCGCAAACTTTTTTTGATGTGTGTACTGTATTCGTCGGAGCTAAGACCGGAAAGGGAGACGTCGAAAGAAAAACCCTCAACGCAAATTTAGTCCGAAATTACTTGATAATCGGCTTATTCACTCTTCGTTATCAATTCGTTCAGCCGGCGGTGAAATAGTAAACTCAACTGATTGCAATTAGTTGTTTTATGCACTTTTCACAGTAATTAGTCTGAAAGTATAAGAGATGAATGAGGTTAAAACGGATTCTAAATATCACGCGGCAAGTTCAGAGCGAGCGGGGCGGTACGTCTGCACTGTCCAACAACAACAGCAAAAAGCCCCCTCTCTCCGACCCTTAGAAGGTCTCACCCAGTTTGAGGTGTGAAACTGACGTGACATTTATAATCAAAGAAACCATGATCGAGCCTAGTTAAAATGATTGTTAGGTAGCCTAGTAAATCGTTTATGCAATAAATTACGTTTGAAGTGATAGCTAGCGCCGACATACTTATTAAAAGCATTTTCTGTTATTTTTAGTGCCGCATTTTTCCAAGGACAAATAGAGCAACCAGTGCGTAGTCTTACTAGCTTGCTCACACATGAAGACATCCCAGTTCTAGTGGCAATTAACTCTAATGGTGTTTATGTTATTGACGACACTGAAAGTGTAAGTTGTATTAATATTATATTAGCAGCATGGTATTTGAACACAGGCAGATTTCGTATTTTCTCCTGCTTCTTCAAGAGTTTGGAGCGAATTATAAAAAAAAAACCTCAAAAGTTCGTGGAATTACATCTATTTCACAAGTTTTATTGAAATCGGTTACCGGAAAGCGCGTGAAACCCGGAGTTTTCGCGTAGCATACATACAAAAAAAGAAAAAAAAAATACGATCGTATCGAGAACCTCCTCCTTTTTTTGAAGTCGGTTAAAAAGTAGACAATGCTCCTGGTGACGAAAGTTGTAAGTTAGAATATCTATCTAATCGAAAAGAAGTGGACTGTATTTTTAGGTAGTCGGACAAAATGTAAAATGGCAATATTTTTGGTCGCGGATAACATAATAAGCCCCATCTATCTTTACTTTTGTTTTCGGCTTCTCGTCATGTGATAATGGGTGACGTCACAGCTGTCCTCTGCACTTATGCACTATTTTTTGGAACTCCAAAATGTCCAGTCAATATCAGTAATAAGCAGACACCAAAACAACACAAAACGGTCAATAATAAAAATGTCAAAATAAGGTATTTCCTTTGTCGAAGAAGTGTACACAGAATAATGTCAAAGGTACAGAAAACAGATTAAAAAAACCGGCCTCGAAAGTTCGTGAAATCACTACTATTATTTGCCAAGTTTTATTGAAATCTAAGCGCGAAACTGTATATATCCCCTAGTTTGCCACAATTAGAGGTGGAATATTTTCTTAAAATTTAATTGGGACCAATAATATAGTACTCTCTATTCGACAAAAAAAACATCAAAATCGGTTCACAAATGCCATGCCAATAAGTTATCACGTAACATACATACAAAAAAATTTGAATAGAGAACCCCTTCTTTTTTGAAGTCGGTTAAAAAGCACCCAGCCGATCACGACAAGCTGGTGAAATTTTATCGCGATCCCGCGACGTAACCTTTTGTCCGAACGCAAAATAATAAAAGATTGTTTACTTACGAACAGCTCCAGTACTAAATTTGTAACGACTGTGATTTGCAGACGGTGCTATTAGGTCTGCTGTACGAAGAACTATCGTGGGACATGGGTCTACCTTCAGACGACAACGAAGACTGCCTCCCTTGTCTTTTCCTTCAATTCATGGTTGTTGAGAATGGATTGCGTGTTTCTAAAATACTACAGGTAAAGTAATTGTCATACAATGTAGTATTTTATCGTTATGATTATGATTATAAATAAACTTTGGATATCAATGATTTAATTATTACATAGGTAGATAAATAGATAGATAACTCGGTTATTTGCTGAATCACAGTACCTTACAAACAAGCTTATGACACAAGTACAATGGTAATCATAAAGAAAAAGACTAATCTAGGTGTGCGGGTATAGTCTGGAGTGTTATGTTGTGTCAGGTGTAAAGTTGAGTGTACTGTGTCAGCAAAAAAAGGGTCCAGCTTCTGCCAGGTTCTAAGGTGAGCCAGTAAAAAAAGAAGTAACTCAGAATAGAGAATCAATATCGAGTTAGAATGTAAGGTATGTAGTTATAATATTAATCTGTTGTAAACTCCTAACTGAGCTACGAACGAACCAGCAGACCTTAAAGTTTGTAATAAATATCTGCATCAAGATGCAGATGTTTATTTTTGGTTTTTAATTTGAATATTATGGGAGTAAAATATCGTGGTATACTATAAACTTAATAATACAATTATCAAAGCGACATCTATAGTCACCCGCTGTAGGTGACCTGACTTAGAGAAGAGAAACTTTCTAAGATTTCTCACAGATGGCGATACGGCAATAAAGTCATTAAAACCGAATACAAAAAAAAATCGTATAGTCTGCTGGTTAGTTCCGTAGCTCAGAGCGTCAGCACGGTGCTGAAGGCGCTGGTACGAATCGAGCCAGATCGAATGAATTTTTGTTAGCGTTAGATTTTTGTAATACTTATTACAAATTATTAGAGCAATTTCACAAAAAAAAAATATCATGGTAGTAAAACTTCGTGATATTCAATAACCTTAATTTATCTACACACATATCATGAACCATCTATGATGTATTAAAAAACCGCAAATTACAACCAACATAAAGATAAACTGTTTTGTTAGAGCAAATTCTTATCTGTCAAAATGTTATTATTGTTAATAACATCGAATTCGATTTTATTATTACATTCAAATTTCGAACATCTCTGAAAAACAAAACAATTTGTTTCGACCTTTTCGAATTCTAATACCTATCAGTCGAGATGAAGGTTTTATTCGCAATGAAATGTCAATAGCAAGGCAGGATATTCCCTGTTTTGACGGGCCCTGTTGCAACTACGCCGCGCTAGCGAACGGTCGCTTTTGACTCGATATCACCGTAGCAGTTGTTCAACGGCAATACGGAAAATCATCTTCACGGAAAATCATCTTAGCATCTAATCTGTTTGTGAGAGACCAGAGTGGGCGGCGCAACAATCCCCTAACACCTGGGCATACGCATAAACACCAGCGACCGACACATCTATCGAGGGAACAACTCAGGTCAGTCAGTGCGTTCACCCTACCCCATTTTGGCCCCGTCAACACCTTACTTGATATCGAACGATATGATAGTTGGGGCCGACTCTAGTTTGTCTATGAATGAAATAAAAACTACGGTTGTGTGACCTGCGTGAGAATTTTTAGTTCCGCCATTACGCCAATCGTTACATGCGGTTCCCGAACACAACATAGAGAGCTTATAATATGTGTATAGATAAAGCAGTGTATGTAACTGTACAATTATATTAAAACACTTGTGCGATGTCTTTATTTTCATTATATTTATTTTATGTTTCATAAAACCACACTTATGTTTTAATGACTTTTATTATGTAACAGTCACATAAACTACTATTATATATAAATGATTAAGATATATATCTGTCGAATTGAACGATGGACGGATGACCGTGTCCGACCGGCTGGTCTGGCAATCTTTGGGAGAAGCCTATGTTCAGTAGTGGACATCTTTTGACTAATATAATGATGTAGAACTATCCACGTTAAACTTCTATATACATTTTATTTACCTTATTTGCCTTTCAGGTATTTTCAAAGCAAACAATTATGATGGACACTTTGATCGAATATTTCGCTGGTGAATATCGAAAAAGACTCGGCCAGGAGACACCCAGTGATCACGCCAACTACGACTACCATTCTGGTAATTATATTATTCATAATGATACTCAGTTTTGCAACTCACAATATATTTTTTTTAAATTATTGCTAGCCATGGAAACAAAGTCCTTCAGCCGAAAACATAAACGTTTAATTATATTTCTGTAAATATGGCCACCACAAAGAGGATAGGCAATTTTAGGCGGCGTGCTTGGATTGACTCGGGATTCCTTAGAACGGGCCGATACGGGTATTTTAGTTCGAGATTCGTATAATTTCGCGTTTTAATCTTCGATTAAGGCACAATAGCACTATCCTATTCCACTTTAAACTAGATTTCACAAAATAATTGAAAGTCAAAATAAAAACGACACTTTTCCCTCCAAAAGGCCCAGAGCGAATTTCACGATATATTAAAGTCTGTTCCAATCCATTTTGAACAAAAAGTAAATTAAAAAGTAAATTAATAAAAACTGTTTGGTTGAAATTGTAAAGCAATCACTCAATAAATCGAATAAGTGACACTTTCACGTATATTTCGAAAATTTGGACTTGATATATCATCACTTTTTCCAACAATATTCATTTGAATAGCATCGTAAAATGGTATTTGAAAAATGGTAGTCAAAAAGTGAGGTTATTATTCCTCTCTACTTTTATGACTCGCCTATGGTTGCATAGTGCTGTTCGAAAAAAACATTCGGTTCAATCAATTAAAGTTTAGTAATCGATTATTAAATCGAACATTTCAATCGCAACCGAACGAGTATCTAAGTGTAAGGATTTGAAGGAGGATTTAAATTGAAATTTTAAATATGCTTATATAGGTTACGTAAAGAAAACCGCTAGTATGACTCAATTGAACAAAAAGATTCATTCAATTAATTAATCGATTTGTAGTTGGCGTTACAATTGGCCATCACTAAACCGTCTATGGTCAGGTCTGTGATTTGTTTGTTTACTTTTTGTTCAAAATGGATTGAAACAAAGTATAATCTCATGGGACCTAAAGACACCTTGTTCAGGTGCTACTTTTGCGGAGACGCCAATGAAATCACAACACACGTATAGAACATCCATTAATGTGTAATTAAGCTGTGCTATTTTGATAAGACGAAGCCGCCTCTAAAGCAAAGGCTTGAGGGCGCGCGTACATGTTAAGAAATTCGACGTGTCTGCTACAGAAAAGATGAGAATGGCCTTGTACACGACAAGAACGTTGTCGGATCTAGCCACAAAAACTTGTCGTGTCTGTTGCAGACGAGAAAACGATGAGTATATACACGATACGAATGCTTTCGGACAGACGTGTATAGGGTAAAATGTGTCAGTGCATTTACGAATCTCCCAGGTAGCTGTCGTTTTACTACCGACTGTGAAGAAATGTGTTGTTGTTCATGTTGACTGCTAACCAACACCCGTTCACGCGTATAAACGTTCGTTTACTGACAGTGCACCTCACCTCGCTCTATACAATAGCGGCAGAGCGCGTCGTGTCGGTGGTAGACAAGATATTTTCTTGTCCGGCGCCGAGGCAGTGTACATATTTCGTGTGTAGAAACGACACGAATTCTTGCATAGACCCGACGACTTTCCAACGATAAATAAAAAGTTACGACATAATAAATAAAACGTTACGACATGAGTGGAACGCGCCTTTAATCGGAATTTATGTGCGAAATTTAATTTGAAATTTACCATGAGCTTTTTGGTGAAAGATAACATCGTGATGAAACCTGCATTTGGAAAAAGGTTCACTACCCTCGGAAAACGTGTGAAGTCCCCAACCCACATTGGGTCAACATGGTCGAGTATGGCCTAAACCCTCGCCTGAGATCGTTTGGAGATCGTGTCCAGCAGTGGGACGTAGAAATGGGGCGATGATGTCGATAAGCGCATGACCATTAAATTTTTTTTCAATTTATCCTTGCTTAGTCAATAACCTTTATTTCATAGATAAGCAAATTACACCGCAAGTGCTCTACTGCTCATTCGTAAGGCAGATTCCCCGTGAGAAGAATGAGCAAGAAACTCTAGGGCTTGCTCTTTGTAAATATACATTTGAGTACATTTATCATTATAATATTTAATTTAAACACCTAAGATCGAGAATACCTACAAGACCTAAACGAGTCACTACCACGGAGACTTATACCCGGCTATTATTTTTGTCGTGTTTTGTTTAACCTTTTAAGTTATTTTTAAATTTCTGGTATGAGAAAAGATTACGTAATTAGGTATTTTTATCTGTTCAGATTCCGGAAGCATATCTCTTCCACCACTGTCTAGACCAGACTCTCCGCAGCGTCGGTTGGCCAACAAGCTGTCTCGTCTGGCGTTAGCCACTCACGACGGCCGAGGAAATTTACTCGGCGGTGCTGGGGACTGGAACACGGATCTTAACCATCCACAACCTTCATGGATACTACCGAAACATTAGACATGAAACGTTCTGAACAACTCAAATTTGAATCTGCATAAGATCTTTTTACCTTATTTATTGTTCAATATTAAATAGCCATATCAAAATTGTATTAACATTATGTTGTGTTGTTGAATCTCGTTTCGCTTGACGTACATATTTTTGAAAATGTAATTAATATCAAATCAAATTTGATTATTAAAATTAAAATCATAACATAGCATAATAAAAACAATAGATTTATTATCAAACGAATTGTTAAAATATTTAATTTACACAACTAACTAAATAAAATAACGTCCAAATTTAACGATGATACTAACGAAGTTCGATTCAATGAAAATCATGTTAACGGTGAACAATCATAAATACATCAGAAGGATTTTTTTGTCCGAAATAACGTTTGTTCGAATTTTCATTACACCGAAAACCGAATTATAACGAAACAGTTGTTCTTTCAGGATATGTTGAATGTTTATCGCAAAGACACGATTAGGTTCGGTTAGGTTAGGTTAAGTTAGGTTTAAAAGAAAAAACATTTTCCTCTCAAATTACTTTCGAGGTTATGAAATTACGACCAAACGTTATTTCTGGCAAATGTCATTTCTGACTCATAGGTAACCACATAGAATATATAAAACTATAATAACTATACAAATAGCCTTAAGAGTCTATACAACCTCAAATGACTTTGGTTGAATACGCATAACAGTGAAAGTGTTGAATCAAAAAGGCTTGGAGAAAATATATAGTAAAACTGTGGATATCATTGACTTACAAATAAATGGACGACGGGTCTAATACAAAAACCACGAAAAAAATGTCCCAAGTCAACCTATTTAAACGTAGTGACATGTAAAGGAGTATGAAAAAGCTAAAACGTTGAATTTAAAATGTAATGTCATCGGATTACTGTCTAATTTTGCTTGCTTCGCTGTCAGTCGAACAAACGAAGACTAAAGCGTGAATGACGCTCTGTATACGATTTTAACACTCTATAAGTTCGGACACTTTTTAGCGCGGACCCGACGTCCATATAATTGTAAGTCAATGCCTAAACTACATAAATAATCACAGGGATGACGTATCTTTTAACAAGAAAGAGATAAACAATTTATACATTCGAAACATCAAAATTAAACTTGTGCCTTAAGCAACCTATGTCAAGCGATAGTGATACTTGAATGCTGAGTGGTAAAATCACCACAATAACCTTTCATTAGGTACATCACAACACGGGTAAGGGTAGGCAGGGCTCTAAGAGATCTAAGTCGCGTATGTTTTTTTTTTTCAAACAAACTGCAAGCAGTCATGGATAAACCTAAACATTCAATGAAGTTTGACAAACCCCAGGTGCTTGAAAAAGAAATCCGTTATCTATCTAGGATGCTGCGAGAGGTCATCGAAATTAAAAAACATCCTAATTTCAACAGGGAAGATAGTTTCTCCGTACCACCAGTTTGGGATCCAATATTTCCTCTGATGAAATATCCCAAGCAGGCATAAGACTGCAGTACTAATGACTATGTTTAATTTTATTTTAATTTCCATTATTAACTAACAATAAATTTAATTTACTAAAAATTCATATTGTTAAAATAATTTGTAGAACATATTATGTAACGTAAAGTGGGTTGTTCTTTGGAAAATTTAAAAATAAGTTAATAAAGTAATAACTGTTGTAATTATAATGAAAAATAGGGTGGTTTGTCATCACAAGATGGATGAGTTTACCATGGCCCGAAACGTTGGTTTGTTTGAAAAAACAACTCGATACCTCTCACGTAAGTTGTTGTAGGTAATTAAAAAATCATTCTTTGCTTTTAATGTAAATTATATCCTTTTTTTGCATATTTATAGGTCTCACATTTAAAAACAACGAAATCACTTAGTGTTATGTTTACTTTCAAACATGGAACCTATAATTCTTATACATAACAAACGATATTATATAAGTTAAAAACATTGACTTGTAAGTCAATGGTTAAAAAGCAAAAAATGTTATTTTAACTTACTAGAACTTACCTGAGAGGTATTGAAATTATTATACGCGATTTAAATCCCAAAAATATTTAACTATTTTTTTTTAATTCTTAAAAAAGATGTAACAATCACGAAAACGTAAATCTTCCATAGGTCACAATATTATGTGTTTCCTAAATTGCAAAAAAAAGTCGTTCGTAATTTTGTCTTGTCTGGTTCAACCAGTCCTATAGGCGGCTTCATTGACCTACCAACAATGGGCGGCTCCATTATTTTAAATTATTGGATTGGTAAACAGCTTTAATTAGGCGGCTTGGCGGATAGAACCTGGGCCTTCAGTCTGTAATAGTTTCGTACTTCGTTGTATTTTGTCAAAAGCGGATGTTTATCAAGCAGTTCTTCGAGTAATTTGTATCTCGGTGCCGAGAGATCTCGGTGACGAGTGAGTCGCACTTCGAGCGCATGCACTTGGAAGGAAAGTTCCGCGCTGAAAACACATAATAACTTTGTATTTTATTGTATGCCAAAACATATCTCTTTCTGTAAACGAGTGTTCCCCAAGGATCAATTTTCGACCATCATTATCATTCCTATACGACAAAAGACAATCTTTTTTGGTTTAATATGGAGCCTTGTGGAACACTGCTTGTACAACACTGTATTCTTTTTCTTAGTCGCTGAATATTTTCTTTATGATACCAAGTGACGGAGCGAACAAGTCGTGCGCATGGTGGTAAGCGACACGCCAGTCCATAACAGTTGCAGGGCCACTCAGACCTTTAAATCACAAAGATCTGAGGGGCTCTGCCACTGAGCACCTCACACCGAGAGATAAGTTGACAAGTCCTATATGTTTGAAATTTCTCCAGTACTCTTTTCCATCAAAACCGGAAAGCAGTAATGTAAGCATAACATTGGCGGCAGAAATAGGTAGGAGGGATGGCAGTACGTCCCTGGGCGAGCTCTTTCACAAAGGTCTACTGTTACTAAAATCATACAATGGATCAAAGTAAAATAGATAACAGAATAAGTTTGGGATACTTATTTTATTGTTAAAATTTAGTCATGATAATGAACTGAACAAATTACCATACATAAATAGAACCATTACCTGGTAGGTAAATATTTGAAATAGTATAATACATGTAATTGAATGAAAATGAACGTAATACTAAACAGTAGATATCAAACATAAAAAAATTTATAAGTAAAACATTTGGATCTAGCTATAGTAATTTATGAATAATAAAAGATAATAATGCAAACAAACCTCATAGCAAAGTAAGCGCTTTCTTTCTCCGGAGTAAGAATAAACTGATTTGCCAAGTACCACAGCCTTTTGGCCTTATATTCTTCGTTGAGCTATTAACAGAACAAAATTTTATTTATAGATAAATTCGTTAGGTTCAATCAATAGAACAAATCGGATGATAATAAAAAGATTTTGCACATTTCTGTACAATATAACAATAAACCTGCGGTAATATAGACGGACGACCTGCAAAAGGTGGCTGGCAGCGGCTGGATGCGGGCGGCAGAGGACTGGGAGATTTGGCGTGCTCAAAGGGAGGCTCATATTTAGCAGTGGATATGTGTAAGCTGATAATGATGATAATAATAAAGTCCATAGGGTTGAATATTGTGCCCTATACTAAAATACAGGTATTTTATACAGGGTTTTAGCATTGGGTTCGATCATATGCCAACAGATTGTACTCATTTTAAATTCGCTAAACTTTATTATTATCAGGACCACCATAAGTGGAAGGTTAACCAACCGTAGATGTATTTTTTTTTTCTTTTCTACATTTCTTCATAACGTACCTTGTCGAATCTTTCCTGTACAAGCAACTGCCTTGCCAGCTGTCGAGCCCGAAAGTCGTTGATGCACTGTTCCCGCACCAGTGTGGCCTCTCTCATGCTTAACGGATCCTTAATATGTTGGAATTGGGCACCGAACATCCTTGCCAGGTATGGAGTAAGAGGATCTATATCTGCTTCCTTCTCTCGCTCGGCCATTTCGGCTTTAAGTCGTTCCTATGGTCAGGTTGTTTTTCAATAAGTCAATTTATAGATAAACTCCTGACGTTGAAAAGTACTTTCGATATTTACTTAAATATTTTAACTTCGTTTTATAAAATAACGTGTTTTTTGTTAAAAATTATTGCAATTGTTATAATTTCACTTCATAACCATCTTTATATTTTGCCTAATAGTGATGGGCAAACAGTGCTCTTCATCACCATATTTTATGTGAGTAACAAAATAATTACTGTACAGTCTGGTTTGATTGATAAGATCAGCTAGAGAAATATTAGGTTTGTTAGAAAGCAAAATTTAACTAATGTTTTAACTAAAAACACATGTATTTTCCATTCATATTATTTGAAACTCTCACCTGTTCCAGGAACCCTTTTTGTGCTTCCAAATTCCTCTCGGTGTTGAACAGTGATACATACAATGTGGGCTCAGTCAGTTCCTGATACCGTTGGCGTAAGTATCTGGAGATATCAGTTTCCCGATCTCTATTTTGCTTGCCGGTACGATATTCCCAGAAGATATTGTCACAGAGGCTTTGGTACAAGTCTAATGGGCGAGGTGGTTTGCCATTTGGATCCGCCTTAATAAAATAATAATATACATTTTTATCTTTTATAAGCTATAATCTTCTATCATTAGTTGACAAGAAACCCAATTAATGGTATGTTATTAACGGTTACAGTGCAAACCGTATTGTTGTAAAGTGCTTTTGATATCGAATGAAACAAAAAATTCAAAAGTATCAATAAAACAACCATGGTCAAAGCGGCAATTGTGCGGTGATGGATTTTGTTGAAAACATGAACAGCCCCGGTGCTACCGATGTGAGACCCGTATGGTAAAAGGAACAACTTATTGACTATTTTAATAGTAATGACGACACTTACAATATATCCAGAAGTTTTATCAGGGTAAAACAAAATCTTTCCTCCAGTTTCAGCTAAATTTGGCTTAATAAAACTCCTCGTATCATTGGTGACAAAGTTATATCCATAGTGGTACAAGAGTTCTATAGTGTTGTCTTGCATGTGGAATATTCGCTTCCAAACGTCTTGCTTAGCAGGGATATCATAGTTTCGCTTGTAAGTCTCAATTATATCTTTTACTTGACGTTTGCCCATATTTTCTGATTTAACAGGTTCAGAGTATGTTATAAAACGGGTTTCCAGCCTGGAATGTAGATTATTCTTCAAACCTAACCTAAGAGATATCTAGTATTTGTATATGTCTAAGTTTAGAAGGATCATCGACCCATGAAATTATCACTTCTGGACGTTGGTTTCCTTTAAAATGGGTTTATGCCATGGTTCACCACATTTGTCCATTGTGTGTGGTATTTTCAAGGGCAGTGGTTCCTTTCATCGTCGAAGCAAATTCTAATTTATAAACTAAGCTGAATCGAAAACCGCTCAGTGAACCCAGGATTTCATACGTAGGAGCCAAGAGTTCAGCTAATGCTGTCACTGCAACATGCCTTTTCATAACAGATTACTTACAAGTCTTCTCTCTGTGTAAAGTACTCGTCGAAAGTTAGGGGAGTACAAACAATCTTGTCAAGTTGGTCCAAGCGAGAGTACCATTTGAACTCCAGGGTACGGTTACCTTCAATAGACATCGGCGGTGCGTCCATGAAGTATGTATGTTCTGGTGAAAGTCATATAATTGTTAATGTTTTGGCGATGTGAACTGGGTGGCTTTTCACCTCGTTGTCTCAGAAAACTTATGTAAATAAAGTATTAATATGTGTGCGTGAATAGTGCCGGTTCTATATTTAAACTAAGAAGGGACCCACAGTCAGTCGGTGTTCTCAACCTAATTACCGTAGCCATTTCGGTGTCCTCAACCTAATTACCGTAGCTGTTGTTTTTTCTCGCTTTATATACCCAATAACATTTTAAATATGAACAACTTTAAGCTTAACTATCAATATATCTAAATGGCATTAGAATAGATAAAGTAGTTTTCGAGTTATTTAGAAAGGAATATTTTATGGAAACGGTAATTAGATCAAGAATAATTTCATTACAAAGTTGAAACATTTTTAAGAAAAACCTACTATTTCTGACACAGCTGCATTATTATTTATATATTTTGCTAAATTTGGTTTATTTCTACTGATACAAGTGCCATTCAAGATTTTAAAAAGAAATTTAAAGAATGTTTTGTAATATTTACTTAGTGGTAATATTTAAACATTACTACAGTTCTTTCCTATGATTAATCATAGCTGTTACAAGAACAGTGTAATAATTTTACATTTTGATTATTTCTGCCGATAAAAACCTCAAAGTTTAAAAACTTATGTTTCATATCGGTGTAATTCATTGCAAAAAGTTTAGAAAATTAAAATCAAAGTTAGTATTGTTAATTGTTCATCATTGTTAATTGTTCTTTATAATTTTTGTTTTTATGTTTTCTTAAAAAATATCTTATTAATGCACTTTCTAATTACGGTATCTACGGTAATTACCGTTTCCATAAAATACTTTTGTCTTAATAACTCGAAAACTACTTTGTCTATTAAAATGTCATTTAGATATGTTGATAGTTTAGCTTATAGTTATTCAAATTTTAGTGTTATTGGATATAATTTCCGAGAAAAAGCAATGGCTACGGTAATTCCGGCCGACTGTGAGAATGGCCGAAATAAAACTTTTATTAAGTACAAAAAAATATTAATAATAAAGGTGCGTACTGATCAAATAGTCAGGCCTTCCATCAAGGAACTGCTCCTCTATTTGTTGTGCCACGTGATCGATTCTAACGAAATGCATCAGATCATCTCTATTCGAATACCATTCCCAACTGCAACAAATTGTTCAATTAGTAAGTAACCTAAAGTGCCTTATGTGCACTGTATACGCTCGTAGAAAGATCTACGGAATCGTAGCAAGATCTACGAATGTTTTGGACTTTGATTCGGAGCATTGTGGAAGATCAGTGCATACGTTAACAGATATAAAGCGAATGACATCAACTGCAGAATAACAGACTAGTGGAAATGGTATCAAGCAGCATAAGTATCAAAACCGGTGAAACTTTTGAAAATAATGGAACTTATTTGAATCCAGTAAGGTTTACTATTACTAACCTCGACATCGAAACTGATCATACTACATCTAATTCTATATAAGAACTATTAAATAATTCTGCCATCTCTTGTTGAGTAACGGAATTCCTAAGTCAGTCAGTTCATTGTTAGATTTAGGAGATCCGTTACTCAATGGCACATTATTCAACAGTTCTTATGTAACTGAGTTAAAGCTGGGAATCCCGTAAACATCAACTTTTGTTTGACATCTTCTCTGATAGGGACACACTCCGACACTATTCGAGTAGCAAAGAATTATGTGGAACATTCTAGGTCTGGGCCCATCCAGTCATAAAAGAATATTGTATGTACCTTAATATCAATGCAAAATAGGTGATTTTAATTTGTCATAATGGCACAAAATTATTAAATATTTAGAAAACAAGGTATACGTATAATTTTGTGAACACTTTCGACTTAAGAGAGCGTTATTGACGCACAAAAATGGTTGTGGTCAACAAACTCCAATAACAAACTGTTTTATTATTATGGCGCACTATAAGCTTATTTCAAAGGGCTGAAGACTGTACTTTGTTAATATTGCTCCTATTGTCTAAAATAAAAAAGAAGTCGGCGTCTTTATCAAACAGAATACATGGCAGCAGCAACGGCCTACTGAAGACTATCGCGGATAGGAGTGAATACCCCGTGATCCGGCATGTAATAACAACCACAATATCCGTAGTAAAATTTAAGTACTAACCTAATTATAAGCTATTTTTGTTACTAACACTTCATGGATCCCTGTTGTCCGTAATAAAGGTTTATTATTATTATTATAAATAAATAAGTACCCAGCCCAACTTAGTGAGGAAAGATGGTTCCTTGGTGCACGTGACTATCCAGATACTGTTTTAAGTCGTCGTCGGTGTAAGTATTAAGTGAAATTACATGCATGTAAAATAGCAAATCTGGGTCAATTTGAGAATAAGCAAAAGAACTAAATACCACATACGTGAGCAACAGGATTGACCAAGCATAATCGGCAAATAATTTAACCCTCTTGATGACTCCATCTGTTTCGGAGTAAGTTGCAAACTTTTCCAAAATCACCTTTTTGTAGTGGATCACTTTTTTGAAACCTGGATAACGTTGCGAAAAATCTGTAAAATTGGAAAAATTGGAATTTGACTGGACTTCAAAAGGATGGCAAAATTCTTTAGAGGCATGAGTTTAGTATTGGCTTTTGAAGCTTTTAGGCTTTAGTATTGACTTTTGACATGAATGTTTGAGTTCGTTCAAGGCCATAACTAAATTAACTTACGAATCATTATTTCTTTTCTAATCCAACTTACCGTCTGCAGTTATATCTAGCTTCTCAACCCAACTAGCAGGCATGTCGAGATGCTTCTCAGTATCAACACAAGTTCGATTATCACTGGTATCCACTCCGACAAGCTGTCTCCGGTAATTGGGTTCACCGGCAAGCAAGTGTTCCCAGCATGTAGTGTCTGACAGATCATAACTATGATGACTAAGATTTTGATCTTCGCCGAATGTATCGAATATCCCTTCTACAGAACTTTCCACTACCCTTTTCACATCCAAGACTTGTATATTTGCCTGTTGTGGAATATAAAGTTGCTTTACATTACAAAGCACAAACAGGGTTTTTCGTTTGTTTGGATAAAGACATTTTCTTTATTTTAATGCGTAGTACTTTTGTTGTATAACTTATAGATTGCTCCATGGCATCGTTACATAAGAAACAATTTTTATGGTTTCTTAACAGGACGTCTTAAAAAATGAATTATGACTCACATAATAATTTTCATGGTTATAGACGCTGTCAATTCGCTGGTACTGTGGCGCATCCAGTGGATAGGCATTGCCCTCAGCCGGTTCTATAAAGAACGGCTCTTCAATCCCCATCGGGCCAGGCAGCACAAGAACCCAAGCGTGAGTACGCCAGCCGTCTAATTCATCAGGAGGGGGCTGTTCCATTTCCTGTCGATCAGGAATTAAAGCATGTGTCAAAGATATTATAAATTCTTTATCGCATACATAGGAGATACAGAAAAAAAAGCCGGTATTCCTGTTTTTGAATATAAGTCTATCAGAGATCTTACTTAAGTCAGTGCTTACCTGCTGTGTTATACGAAAGGGCCACGGGAAATTGATATGACAGTCATGCAGTCATTGTAACATTGGGCTCCATTGACATTACTGCAGAATGGAATGGAAGCGAATTTTTGTAATCGTAGCATAAAGGACTTTACGTCCGAACTTTATTCCGTTCCGCGGATGTAAAGTGGGCTTTAATGTAAAGACGATAAGTTTTTTTTTTATATTACCAATTGAGAGAAAACATATTGATGGACGGGACAAACATGCCATGCTCTTTCACACTGCTCCGCGCTGCGCAACGGTGTGCGAAGCTGCGTTTTTAACGTTGTACAGAAGTACAGACAACACTTCTCCGAGCGGGAGTGCGGTACGCGGGTATTGTGTGCTTGCCCGGTCTTTAGAGGGAGCGATCCCTACGTGGCGCAGGGCCGCAACACCGCTGCGTCCACGCGGAGCGAACTAAGAGTTTCGCAGATCTGCGTCTTCGCACTGCGCGCGTGGATCCGTCGTCCTGCACACCGTTGCGTGGCGCGGAGCAGTGTTTTAATCGCCTAACAGTTGCAGTGCAGTTCGATCTTTGTATTAATATGAAAATTAATATGAAATTAGCTTTCCAGTATTTCAACACACACTAAAGATATTTAATTTAATTAATACATAGCTCGAATTTAATTATGACGTCACTAATTTGTATCATCGTTTCGTTCCCTCTAATTCTAAATATATATAACTGTTTATTATAATTTCAATTCTGTTTACTATTTTTAATTGATGGTCTATTACCATCAATTAAAAATAGACACTTACGGCAATTTTCTCTGCGCGTTCTCGTTCCTTCTTCTCTATTTCTTTCTGCGCTTCCTCGGCTGCCCTGTCGTCCATCAACTTTACGTACTTAGAAGTAAAATCTGGCAACGGTACTAGCTTGTAGCGAGGTTCTTCTTCTGGTTCCGGTTCCTCTATTACCACCTTAAAAATCGTGCAAAACTTATATTGTTATACAAGGTTATTTGTTAATGTATTAATAACCTCGCAGGACTGTATTACTAACATAATAAACTACAACTTTTGTGTATTTTATTTTACTACTGACTTACCGGAGTTTCATCAGGAATATCAGGGCATATGGTCCTATACCGGATATGAAGACACGTATCTCTCTTGGCGCAACCAACGACCACATATGCGTCGTATGTAGCACCCACCAACCAGGAGACCAGTACGTTGGCAATCTCAAAGGGATTGCCTTTACGGCGTATTAAGACTGAGTACGACGACAAAATTCGTTCCGGCTGGAAAGTAAATTATACATATAAGTTTCACTTGCATAAATAGAAATTTACATCAGAAAATGGTATATTCTTAGGAATTATAGTTTCGGTGAAATGAGGAGTGTGGATGACAAAAAAAAATCACTAACAGTCACGCTACATGACGCGTTGCGTCGGCATTGGGACGACGTTGAGTTGTCACGCTGCGTCGTATTACATATAAATAAGGACGACGTTTCACATGGTGTGGTGAAACGAAACGTAACCTCAAGCAACTTGTACGTTCATATCACAGCGGCGCGGGCGGCGGCGCGGTGTGACGACGAAACGCCCGTGTGGCATCGGTCTAAAAGGGCCGATTCACTATGTAGTTGCAACTACATTCAAAGTTCTACATCGCGCGGCAGACGGCTGGGCAGGCTGCAGCGCAGGATAAGGAAATGGGCCCCTCTAAACGGCACAGTCAAAGACGGAACGTGTATCTTGAGTTACTTCGATACATCCACAGTATTACAAAGTGACACAGCCAACACAAGATACAATGTACGCACAAAACTTGCGTACATTGCGCGCAAACGTTTGTCTTATGTTGGATACATCCACAATATTGCAATGTGATATATCCGACATTATGACACAATGTACGCACAAACCTTGCGTACATTGCGCGCAAACGGGAATGAATGAATTAATGAAGTCGCAGCCTGCAAGCCAGCCTGCAATCCTGCAATGCGTCGTGCGAGGCTGCATACGTGGGCCATACGCAGATAGTGTGTGAGCGGTCTCCTGCCTGCGCGGGGGATTGCCATGTAAATAGTGAACAATTCACGCAGACGACGCGCAGATGACGCGCGTTAACGCGATTCAAACGAGATTCAATCGTGTGGCTCTAAAATCAACAAAACCAATAGAAGACAAAAGACAATAACGAACATTGTCTAAAAGTCCGAACGAAGTTTGGACCCATCAAAACGATGGTAGAAGGCAACCATGATAAAAACGGTGAATGGAATGTCGTTCGACGTAATGGCAATGAATGTGTAACATTTAATATGTTACTATACCTTTTATTTGATTTTTCTCATTGAAAGCGGGATTCAGCAAAAAACGAGGATCGGCGAAGAAAAGATAAATACACAAAAATATAGTTAGCGATTTCCAACTGAGTCAAAACTGACCTCGGTAATATTTATTATAAAACGTATTGAACGCCATCTCTTATCAACCAAAAGAATATTTGCAACTCTCCCCTATTTTAATATTATTGTAAGAGTTTAACCGACCAACCCCAAAGCTACAAGCTAACAGCTTTCCAAATACAAGTATAGATTGCGCCACTAGTACGTTTTCAAATCAGAACTGGAAATTTTTACAACATCCGCTATTTTACAATACTTTTTAGCATAATATTCTTTAAAAATAATTTATTTCATTATTTACTTTTAAATAATTATTTGATTAATTCGTTAATAATTGTATTAAATAGGTAGTAAACGATCACAATATGACAGTCAAGTTATTCGAAAGAGGTAACGTGTCGACATAACCATACATTTTTCATTAATATTATTTATTTATTGAGCATTGGCTGTAGAGCCATCTAAAAAGGTAACAAATCTTAAGGAACTCTAACCGTAAAGTAAGTGCTTAAACTAAAAATTAATTCGTGTAAAAACTGTAACTACAAAAACCCGGTAATAGTATGTTCTTTCTCAAAATTTTATTTTATTTATTTATAGAGAATTGGTTACAAAAGCCTAACGCTTCACGTACGTAAAACGTACTAATACTTAAAAACTAAAAATAATTTGTATAAAAACTGTACGTTTGGAACCCCCAAACGTACAGTTTTTTCTTAAATTATAATACTGTATTGTCACAAAATTAAAAAAAAAACTAAAAATTTTAAAATCAATGTTTTTTTTTAATTTTCACAGCCACAAGCTTGATTACAATCTTCTGATAGCCACTCTCCTTGAATAGCCCCATACTTGCACCAATTTATTGGTTTGGGGAAACACAGATGATAATAATAACAAATGATAAAAGAAAATATGGCGGGTTTTAGTAGGTACAGTTTTTACACACGTTAAAAATTTTAGTTTACGTATTATTACGTTTTGAATTTCTTAATTATTTGTACCTGTTTAAGTTGGTGACGGTCAGTGGCTGTAGAGCCAATTCTCAATAAATAAATAAAACAATAAGTAACTTTGTTATAATCATTGTTCGATGATTTTTTTATGTATCATGTTGTATTTTATGCATTTTTTACTAATTAATACTTGAGCGGCAATAAATAATTGTTTTAATTATTTTTATTATCTACTGACAAAACACGACTTTTCAATTTACAAAGTTGAAAGTTGCTATTCGAGGCTACAAGTTGATAATTTTAACGGTAAGACGGTTTATACAATTCGTTAAAGTCTCTCAGTGAAAAGAGGGACTCATCAGTTTATTGTTGTGAAAGGGAGGCAGCACCCTCCGACCTCCACGTCCTCCCATTGAATGAAATCAGAAGTTGAGTGAAACAAAGTCTGGTTAACTTTTCCGAGTTTACTTTCACTTTTCGCGTGAAAACTTTTTAGTACTTTCACTATTGGATTTTCTTCTGTTCAGCGAGATTATTTCTATAATTATTGTAATTGATAAATTTCTACTAAATTAATTAAATTATCATATTATAATGTTCCACTTGCTCGAGTTACTCTTGGTATACAAAAGCCACTTATGATCTTAGTCAAGAGTGCTCTTATCACAAGAAAATAAAGTACATACACACGGCGTTCCATACACACGCCGTGTTTCACTGATGTGCGTTGAAGACACAACATTTTGTTTTTAATTTATCAAGGCTTTGGCAAAGCCATCACCCTAAATATGAATTATTATAATTATTACAGAGTTTTAAATGTAATTAAAAAAAAACTTCTACTACTACTACAGTATGAAAGTTAGAGAAAGAAATTAAATATAAACAACTTACAATATTTTAAAGGTGCTATTTACAAATTCAAATATTACATTATATAAACTTGTGTGTTTTAAAAGGTCTTGTACAGTACTGGGAATTGTTTTATATTCAAGAAGGTCTTGAGTTAAAGAAATAAGTAACAGACGTTGTAAAGAAAATTGTGGGCAGTCAAAAAACAAATCATTAAGGTCACAGTAATTATGGGAACAATATGTACATAATGAGTTAGTATTTAACTTTAACCTAAATAAATGTGCAGGGATCTTCTAACTAAGATTCTTCTAACCTATGCGAAGTCTGCTTATAGTCGTTATAAAATCTCTACCTATATATGTGGGATATCTCTCAAATGAAGACACAACACTTCGATATCTTAGATAAGGAACAAAGTGCTCTGACTACGCAATAATTCAGCAGGGGTTCTGAATAAAATTGTCACTGTATGGTTACCATAAACACATTTTAAAAATATAAAGGTTAGGCTGCATGGTCTAAAGATTTTTGCCTTTCCGCAAGGCAAAGTACACAACATTATATATATAAAGCTACAAATACTGACTCACTTAGAAAAATAGAACGCATACTTCCCAATATGGTGGAAAAAAGATATTTATACCGTTGTATGAGGATAGGCTCCAAGGCAAAGAGAGAAGAGAGAGAGGCAATGAGAAGGCCTGAATTTGGGAAATGTAAACGAGTGATCAACGGCCTGCAAAAACTATAATACATGGGGGGATTTTTGTGAACTTTTATGAGATATACCTTGCTCAATTTCTGCAGAAAGTAAATAATGTTCGAAAATCAAATAAACAAGATAGCCGCCATACAAATTTCGAAGACTTCTATAATGGAAACTATTAGAGGTAGGTAGAAGGTGCTGGAAGGAATGTCATAGAGGGTAACAGTGGTCAACTGCCTGTGTAAAAAAATTCAAGACGGCGAATCCAAAATGGCGGCCGAAGAAAAACTTGCTTCGATGCGGCTGAAAATTGGCATGCAGGAGTCTTTAGGAGTCCTTAATCATAATTTGGGGTCAAAAGTTTTTTTTCGCCATTTTTTAAATATGGCTGCCATATAAGTCTTTTTTTCGTTAAAAATAGCCGCCGAATGAGACTCGCTCTGTTTCAGCTGAAAATTGGCATATGGAGGCCTCTAGAAGTGCCAAATAATAATTTGTGCTCGAAATTGGTTTAAAGAGCTATGTTAATTTTTTTAAAGTCATAAGTGCCGAGGCCGTAGGCCGAGGTCTAGCGAAGGGCGAAGCCCGAAGCGTCCGCACGCCACCTTACGTAGGTAGTATACGGGGACTAGATTTCACAATTGTTCAAAATGTAAGACATACTTCCCGATGTAGTGGAAATAATATTTTATTTACTTATACAACTTATAGCGTTGTTGTATCTCGACTGTCTCTCTGTTAGACTCTTTTTAATTGGAAGCTATGCCAAAAAGAGAAGTGTTTAGGGAAAACGCCAGACAATCACTTCAAATTTCTGGTCTCAAACTAGGGAATTTCCTGTACTATGAGTACCAGATTAACGATAATTCTGAAGGCAATACCCAGAATACCCTGACCAGGAACTACTTAAAAAATAATTTTTATATAAATTGGCTCAAATAAGGGATCGAATCTGGAACCTCCTCATCAAGCGCCCATAGTACTAATCACTGTGCCACCGAAGAGCATAACGCACACCACGTAATCTGAAAGCGACTACGCGCCGCAGGCCGAGCCCGACCCCACCGTAGGTGGGGTATAGGGCTCGTAATTTATATAATTTCAACAATTCGACTGTATTTTTTTCTTTTACTTAATTTGTTTTTCTTTTTAGTAACTTATTACTTTATAAACAGTGGCGGATTTGCCCTAAGGCCCTGTAGGCCCGGGCCTAGGGCGGCCAGATTTAAGGGGCGGCGAATCGTGACAAAAAATTCACTGATGATGACAAGAAATAACTGAAAGTACCTAATATTCTAAAGGCTCACGCATATTATGGCTGGCCGCACTGAACCGCATCGTATAACAATAATCTTCCTAAATCAC